GGAGGGGAGGGCAGCACTCACCTCGCAGGGCCTTGGATCGCGTGCGAGCTCGAGTGTCCTCATTCTCTAAGCTCATCTGCAAGGAGAAACAACTGTTATGTTCACGGGAAGGCAGGGCCGCCCGGACCTGCGGCCGTCTCAGCTCAGACTTTGCTGGTGATGGCAAGTCTGTGACACAGAACTACCGGGAACAGCTCACGGGGCAGGAAAGGCCTGGGGCCTGAAACAGCAGGCCAGCCCCAGGGTCCCCCATGCCTTGTGCCTGCCCCCCACCCCTGCCCCCTGAGGAGGAAGGGGCCTGTCCCACCTGCTGCTCACCGGGCACAGGTGCTCAGGCACTAGGGCAGGTCGTTCGTCACAGACTCTGACAACACCATGCCCAGAGCCCAGCTTCCCATGGGAGTTATGTGAGGGTCGTCCGGTCAGAAACAAGTGGCTGGGACCCAGATGGACCATCCGGGAAGCATTCAGAGGTGAGACAGCTTCAAACTCCATTGTGTGCTGTCCCAGGAACAGTCCAAGGAGAGGTGGCCTGAGCTCGGGGACCTTCCCTAATGTGAGGCAGGACGCTCTGTGTGTGTTCCTAGGGGCGCCAGGGCTGCCAGGACACGACCACCCAAGGGACTGAGCCCAAGTCACACAAGTCGCTGTGAATGTTGTAATGTTCTAATAGTCCCATTAACAATGTAAAGAGAAACAGCTAAGATTAACGTTACCCTAAAGTAAGTTAGCCCAATCTATCCAAAACATTATCATTTCAACAATAATTGGTGTAAAAATTGTGAATGGGACTTTGTTCTGTGATAGCTCAGAAAACTTGCATGCCTCCAGGGTTCACAGCACATCTGAGTGTGACCAGCCACATGCCAGGTGCCCATGGCCACTGCGCTGACATGAGGCTCTAGAGGCGAGAGGTGGGTCAGTGAGAGCCAGGCTGGGACAGATCAACCAGACCCACTGGCCATCCTCAGTGTCACTTCTTCCAGGAGTCCCTCCTCGAACCACTTCTTGGGCGACACTGCCCACACAGTCCTCCAAGGAGTTGAGGGAGAGCCCTCAGGAGCTACAGGTCATCACACAGGATCGTTGGCCTGAGGCACTCATGACGCATCTGATCAGGCAGGTGATGAGGCAGGAGGTGGGTGGTCGGCAGGAGCCCTGACATGCTCCATGTCTCCAAGGGAGAGAAGCCTCTGCCTGGTCTCCTACACCCCAGGAGGCCCCAGGAGAGCAGGGCTCACCACCTGTGCCCATGGTCAGGAAGAGGAGGAAGCTGTGCCACCTGTCTCAGACCACACTGTGGCCATCAGAGGGGCAGCAGACAGTGGGGAAGGAGTGGCAGGAGAGAGGAAGGCAGGCGGGCAGGAGGGGATGTCTAGGGTACCACCCAGGAAGACAGAAGGAGGGATCCCCCCAATTAGTGAGATAGAATTTGCAGAGCAAACCTCCCCCCAAGCAGCACTAACATAGGATGATTTGTGTGATTTGTTAAGGAGGAAAAGTCAAAACCAGGGGTGACTTATGCAGCCGGCCGGGGTCCAGGCCGAGGAGCCAGGGTCCGAGGTGCACCTATCACAGCCATCCAGCAGCGAGACACAATGGCCACCATTTCTATTTTGGAAATGAGGTTCCCTGTGACCAACAGCTGACGTTGAAAGTGAAGAGAGAAGCAGGCTTCAAAGGGGCTTCATTACCGCCATGAGCCTTCAGACGCGTCTGTGGGCCCAGGCGCCTGCCTCCCCTGCAGGATGCACCATGACGCTGATGCTGCAAACTGCTGGGCGCCTGCTTGCGGATGAAATGCGATCTATAGCTCTTTTTTTGTCAGGTTTCCCAAGGAAACTGGCAAGCAGTCTGCTACGTTAAAGCGTGCCTTGGCAATTTGGATTTCCTGCAGATAAATTATTCAAAGAGCAGAGAACAGAGAGGGTGGCAGGGGTGGGTCGTGGGCGCTGCCTCCAAACCGTGAGCCCTCTGTCGAGCACCTTCCCTTTGCAATTTATCTGGTCAGTCAGTGAGAAATTCTCTTCGGTGCATGTAGCTTTGATTTTAAGGGGGAAAACTGCTCGACGGGATGAAAGACAAGTTAGCTCTTTAACGTGAGAGTGGATTTGTAAGAGCCAAAGACTTGGGATATTAGCAACGAGGCTGATTTCTGAGCTGTCTGAAGCCGGCAGTCCTGGCAGTCTCGGACACAGGGACAAAGCTGCGATAAAACCAGTGAGCTCCATGGTTTTCCCTCTCAGTGGACGTGCAGCACTTCAGAGGTGGATTCTCAGCTGTCCTCATGCCCTGGAACCCTGCTCCGCGTCCCAGACAGAGCCCAGCACCACCCAGTAGCCCCCACCCCGCAAAGACAAGGAGACACATTCCAATTTTTCATTCATTTCTTGCTTAAAAATCCTTTGTTTGTTACAGGCACAAATCCACAAATAACTGAACAGCCTCTAGCCTTGTGGGTAAAAAGGCCCCTGCGTCACAACTGAGCCACCTCCAGCCCACTCCTGTAACACCAGCCCATTCTGCCACGCGGAGCGTCTCCCTCCCCTGTGCTCCTTAAACGGGCTCTGTGCTCAGCCAGCGTTCCACTGGTTTTGTCTTCAACAGGAAAGCTGGGGAGGAGAATCACTTACACACGCCACCCCTGCGAACCAGCCAGGTGGCCTCCGGGTCCTCCATTCGCCTGCTTCACTGACACCATTGACATGGGTCTCCCACGGGGGCTGCTCCTGCTCCTTCCACACGCGGTTGTTGGTAAAGTCGAGAGTAGCCCTGTGAGCTCTTTCTAGGTACAGATGGTTCTCACTACAACTTGCATATCACTGTTGACCAAACTGGGTTCCCTGGGTTGGACATTTACAACTGGGAACCAAACAATTCCCTGTGGTCAGCAGCCTCCAAACCTGTGGATTCATCTGGACTCTGAGGCCATGGAGGGGAGAAGTGCACTCAGACCCAGCCAGTGGCACAGTGGCCAGGAAGGAGGCACTCTGCCCAGGAGTGCTCAGCCTAGGCACCACAGGCTTTACGCCAATCTTCACTTTTACCCCGAGGTCAGTTCTGCCCACACCCTAAGTTCGGTCCTTCACAGCGCAGGAGCCTCCCTGCCATTCTGCACAGACAGCTGAGGCCTGGCCCCGAGAAGCCCCAGACAAGCTGCCTCCTGGCCCCTGCAAGATATCCTGGCCCGAGCAGCGCCACCCTCAGTAACAGAGGGTCCCTCACTCCAGGGAAGGGGGGAGTCAGGGGAGAGCTCAAGAGGAAGGGGGCTGCTCAGACCCAGGAGCCTTGGTAGGGAGGGGAGGCTGAGTGGATTAGTGGAAACCTGAGGACATTTAGGCTGCCTCAGGATGGGAGATGCTCAGAGCTGGGGAGCAAGGAGCACCCTTGGGTGGCAGCTCCTCTCAACAGTCAGGCCTGTGCCCTCCTGCTCTGCCCTGCGCATGCTCATTTCCCTCACGGCCCTCAATTCCATCTCAGATAAACTCCTTCATTCCAGTTTCAAGTCCATCGTGTCCTGCAGAGCGAGGTGCCATGGCCTCATTCGCTGCTCAGCACACGTTATGTGAGGATGGACGGATGGACAGACAAGCGGGAAAGTCAGAAATGTCTCTGAGACCCTGGACTGGAGAAGACAGCTGAGCACACACCAGAGCCCCGAGCTGGGTGAGGGTTCCAGAACCCTGAGACCACAGGGACATTCACTCGGCCCTGGGCTGCAGGTTAGGGCTTCATTTTATTCAGAATTCATTCCAACAGCTGCAAAGTTGCAGAATTACAATGGACTTAGGACAATTTTTTAAAGCCACAAGATTATATGGATTATAGTGTCCCTGGAGCAGACTTAGAGGGAGAGGCGGGAGCATCCACTGACTCCCAGGAGACCACAGGCAGCCCTACCTGAAGGAAGTGGTGGCATGGAGTGAGGGGGGCAGTGGGACATAACCAGAGGTGGCCAGGAGCTGACCATCACCTGCCCTATTGGCTCTGAAGTACCCGCCCAGTGACCCCTTTCTCCAGGGGAGGGCGCGCTCTGTTCTCTCACGGTGCTCACCTGAGGGTGCGCCTGCTCACACTGGCTGCTAGGAAGCCCCTGAGCAGAGACCACTGCATCTGATCCCAGCCACTCCTGGGCAGGACTCCAATTCAGGACTCAAGAGCAGCGTTTCAGGATGCTTCTTGCTCCTCTCCCGTGGAATCCTTCAGAGCCCTCCTGCCTCACCCTGCACAGCCTCCCCGGCTTCCCTTTCTTCTGAACACACACCTGTGCAGGTCAGGGTCTGCCTCAGAGCCACCTCTGCTTCGGGACCTGCAGGTTCTGCTACCTCCAGAACCCCCAGCAGACCCCGGCTTTCCATTCTCTGATCTCTGAGGCTTAACCACTCGCACACACCCGTGCACCCCTGGTTACCTGCAGTGACAGCTCTGTCCCCCTTTGGGGCATCCCACTGTGTGTCTGACATTCTCCTGGCATTTCACCCATTGTTCTACCTCCTGGCACCTGAAGACACCAGCCTCCGTTTTGGGTTGCAGAGAGAACACCCACAGAGCATTACTGACCACGTGTCCCAGGAGAGGTTCTCCAGGCACCTCTAAGCATGGGACCATGGCTCACTCCAACTTCAAGTTAAAACTTACAGCTTTGTAGCCCTGGCCGGCATAGCTCAGTAGTTAGACCGTCGGCCTGTGCACTGGAGGGTCGCGGGTTCGATTCCCTGTGTCTCTCTCACATCGGTGTTTCTCTCTCCCTGCCCCCTCCCATCTGCTCCCTCTAAAATCAATGGGAAAAAATCCTCACTCCTCAAGTGAGGATTAAAAAAAATTATAGCTACATAATGACACCCTGATAAAGCGACCACGTCTGCGTCCCTGTTTAAACTCCACAATAAATGGAATTTGTACCTGCCCAGAGGTAGAAATTGGGCCATGTTAAGTGAAGTGGCACCTCCCTCCCCCATCAGGAACCCCAAGGCCTGCCTGAACGTCCTGCAGTCAACCTTCTGACTGCTTATCTCTAGCCATCCACTGGGTAGCATGTGGCTCAGGGCCCCAGTGTTTCATTCTTCAAGGTCACGT